ATTAAAGTAGTAGTAGAATTAGTCAACTTTTGAGGGGTTTTAGAACATGATGGATCGTAGCCTAGTCCGGCTTTATCTCCAGCGGGTTTTTGCATGTTTACCATTTTATCCATTATTTTGGATGAATGCGTAAATGATGCGATTACTTCCCGAAGGTTATGTTCTCTAACCTCTCTAGCTTTGCACTCTTCTTGAAGTCGAACATTTTCGGCTTTCAAATTACTCATTTCATTTAGAGCATTTAGCAATTTTTGTGACATCTCTTCCTTTTCAAGAATTAACGTATTATTGTGCTCTTTGATTTGAGTATGAGTGACCATGACTTTTTGACAATCTTCCATAAGACTTTGAAAAGATTTTTGAGTCTCGAAAGAGGTGTCAACGGAACTAAACGAGCTAAATGAACTAGAAGATACCTCTTCGTCGGTTTCGCGCACCATATAGCATTCCTCATGTTCGGATGTTTTGCCCATTAGACATAGTAGCGCCGTATCTTCTTGTGATGAATCACTCTCGTCACTAGATGATTCTTCGGATTCACTTGCTTCTAACGGATCGCTTATTAGTGCCTTCCGTTTGTCCTTTTTGAATTTCTTCTCTTTCGACTTGTACTCAACCTGTGGAGAGTTAGAAGTATTCGAATTTTTGTTCACCTTGGGATGTGGACATTCGGCCATAAAATGTCCAGGCTTTCTATAATTGTAACACACATTTGTGTTATCTTCGACCGGTTCCCTTCTTGATCTTCTATTTTCTCGAAAAGAATTTCCTTGTGGTGATCCTTTGTTCTTTCGCATGAACTTCTTGAATTTCCTAACAAATATGGAAAATTGTTCGTCAGATAAAAAATCATTATTTACTACTGACCTTGATGTAGACGGTTGATCGGCCATTAATGCGGATGTTCGTTCATCACGTTCTTCTTCATTTCGTGTCTTCATCTCGAACTCATACGCCTTTTGATCACTAAAGAGTTTATCCGTAGATAATGTCCTTAGATCTCTGCGATCGCGCATTGCGGTCACCTTCATATCCCAATTTGTAGGTAGTCCGCGTAACACTTTGAGCGATATTTCCTTCTGGGTAATGGTCTTTCCCAGATCCGTGATTTCTCCAAGTATTTTGATCAATCGAGCTTCCATGTCGGTGATGCTTTCATTCGGTAGCATTTTGAAATCTTCGAACCTTTTCATGGCAATGGTTAGCTTGTTGTCTTTTTCTTGTTCATCGCCTTCACCGATACTAATGAGAGTATCCCATATTTCTTTTGCCGTGGTGCACTTTCGAATTTTTGGGAATATGGTGTCATCGACGGTTTTGAACAAAATATCCTTGGCAATATTGTCCAAGTTATTTCGTCCTCTATCTTCCTTTGTCCACTCCATTTTTGGCTTTGGAATATATTGTGGAGCATTTGGATCACGTGGGGTAGCGGTATTAGCTTCCATAATTTGGATAGGACCATTTGTGATGACTTCCCACATCTCATCATTTAAAGCAGATAAGTGCACCTGCATGCGTATTTTCCAATCATCAAATTTATCAAGTGAGAAAAGCAAATTTTGAGCAAGAACCATATCTCTCTTCATTTTGAAGTTTTCGAGATCTGTCTAGCAGTCAAGAAATGACTCAAATAGACAACCGCTCTGATACCACTTGTTGGTCCCGAAAGGGTGGTGAGAAGTCTAAAGGGGGGGGGGGGGGGTGAATAGACTTCTCTAACTTTTTCAAACTACTTCTGCAAACAACACTTTGTAACTTCAACTCTAAGTAACAAGCATAAACAAGTATAACAACTTAGAGTGTGCACAGCGGAATTGTAACGGCAAAGTGTTATGCTTTAAATTGTGTCGTGCTCAAGAGAGATTTTATACATGCATCACGTTAGAAACACTTAGTATAGATGTAGGATGATGCATTTAAAATTTCACTTGCATGCAAACGAGGGAACTATCAAACCCAGATAGATAAAGATACGCAATAAACCGTAACAGGTTAGTTCACAAATAATATAGGCATGCACGAAATATATATGAGCAGTAAGTAAATAGAGAGAGAGATTTATAGTGGTTCAGAGGTGGTGTAATCCTCCTAGTCCACTCTTCTCCTTTCATTTCAAGGAGGAAATTCACTATTCTTCAATCACCCAAATACAATAGTGAGTAAGTGCCCAACAACACTTCTCCGAGTGCTTCGCACCAAGCTACACTCCACCAAGGTTTTTCGCAAGCTCCTCTTGTTACTCCGCCTTCCCGAGTACTTCGCACCAAGCTGTACTCCTACACCACGAGAACTACGCACAAAGCTACGCTCTCACCGGGTTTTCACAAGCTCCCCTTGTTACTCTGCCCGTTACAACCGAGTGCTACACACAAAGCTACACTCCAACTGGGTTTTTCACTCTCCCTAGTTACTCTACCCCTTTTCTACACTCAGTAGAAGATTTACAATGAAAATACAAAGATTTTTCTCTCACTCAGACTTGAATTCTATCTTGTATAGCTCAATATACCACTTGATGATTGATTGGATAATTTTCTTTGTTGTTCAAGTGTTTTCTGAATCTCTCCAAGTGTTGTTATGTCTTCAAGTCTGCTTGGGCATTTTATAGCAGATGAAAGCTATTTGCCCGTTGATCAACTTTCGATCTCGATCGTCCATTTTGAATTGTAGTTGATCAATTAATTTTGCCAACTTGGTCTGCAAAAATCATTTCGCCGTCTGTCAGAAGATTTTGAGAAATCTTGCCGTTGCTCTCCTTTAATCTGACAAAGCTTTTCTTTGGAATGGGTAGACTCCAAATTTGAATTTTCTCTGGCATGACTTTTGTTTAATTATTGATCTGATGTGCCAAGTTGATCAAATAATTTATCTGCTGATTCTTGCTTGAGTAATAAAAAGATCTCCTTCGTATATCAGCTTCTTCTTCTCCTTCGACTTCTTCTGCAGAAACAGAATAGTATATCATGTTCCACCTTGTATCATGGACCATATATATCATGTTCCATTTCATATCATGAGCTAGCTATCATGTTCCACCTTGTATCATGGACCATATATATCATGTTCCATTTCATATCATGTTCTAGCTATCATGTTCCACCTTGTATCATGGACCATATATATCATGTTCCATTTCATATCATGTTCTAGCTATCATGTTCCACCTTGTATCATGGACCATATATATCATGTTTCATTGTATATCATGAACCAATATAAAATCGCTTCAGGTGGGAATTGAACTATGAACCATTTGCTTTGCTTGATAAGGCTTCTTCCATCTCGACTGGGTATCCAATTGATACAATCCAAGACATAAATTCTTTTGACTTATCTCCTCCACGTGTTCTCCACTAGCTTTATCACATTGTGATGTCATTACCCGATAGTCGTGACGTCATCACCCGATAATTCTCAACTATCACAATAAAAATTGTTCTTTTATGATATTACTATCATGATGACATCATCTCCTTATATTGCTACTTCACGATAGCAATTCATCTTTACACCAAAATTACTTCTAGTGAGAATTGAACTATGGATCATCTCGCATTAGGCATACTTCAACAAGTTTTCTACCATCTCGTCCATCTCAACCTTTGGTAACTTGATGCTTCATAAATCTGTTATGCTATGATCCCGCTTTCATTTATTCTTCTTTCAAACTGCTTTTTCGTAGACTTCATGCAGGCTTCATGGCAGTGGTGCACTATACTTGGTGAACCAGAACTGACTCAAATAAAATAAAATTGGGGTCTACAAAATACATTTGGCTCATCAAAACTTATACAATATATTCCTAACAGATTATGAATGTACTGTAAATTCATAATCTCATAACAAAAAATTCATAATCGCATAAAAGAAAAACATTTATTAAATTATGAATTTTCTGTTATGAGATTATGAATTTACTGAAAATTCATAATCTCATAATAGAAAATTCATAATCTCATAACAGAAAATTCATAATCTCATAAAAGAAAATTCATAATTTCATAATTGCACATTCATAAATCCATGCAATTATAAATGTGCAGGCATGGATTTATGAATGTGCAGCTATGAAATTATGAATTTTCTTTTTATGAGATTATGTTGAAGAAGCTTGCGCGAAGAGGAAGTGAAACCGCAAAATGTGAATTTGAAGAAGAAAAGTCGCGCAGTTAATTAAGGAAAAAAAAAAGATAACGGTGCACTGTTACCATTGGGACCGTGTTCACCATGAATGGTGAACACGGTTCCATGGCATAACGATTCTTGGAGACTTTTGCAATGCAGGATGATGGAAGCATTGGGGTAGATCCCTATAGATTATTAATTAAGTCAAATAATTAATACCCAATTACCTGTGCGATGCTCGTGCGGTGTTCGTGCAGTGCTCGTGCGATGAACGGATAAATTTTTTTATTAAAAAAATATAAAGGAAATAAAAGTCAATTGCAAACTTGCTATTGAGCTATTATGTACCATAATAATTATTAGATTTTATAATAATAATAATAATAATAATAATAATAATAATAATAATAATAATAATAATAATAATAATAATAAATATACATATGGAATCCCAATCAGCACAAACATATTCTTAACCTACGAAAAATGTTAATTGGTCTTTCTTTCCGGGATCATGAATGAATTTGGAGCTTATTCGATCGAGTTCGGTGGCTTAATTGCTATACCTAAATAGTTTAATGTCCTTATACCCGTACGTCAATAAAAAATTTAGTTCAACCTCTATTATGTAGGTCTGTAAGAATTTGAAATTCAGTACAATTTTTTGTTTCAATAGACAAGTCAATTACTTGAATTGCTGACTGATTATAAAACCAATCAGCAAACACTTGGGCGTAAATCTACAAAATATAATGTAACAATTCAATATAAATATAAATATATATTATAATAGGTCATTTTGGTAATTAAAATTATGATTTGGGATATTAATTAATGAAAAGCAATTGACATATTAATATTACCTTGTTGTCTACAATGCGCATCATCTTTGGAGAAACCGAAGAATACGTAGTGACATCATGAGTGATGCAACTAGTTATCCAAATGCCTTTGAGAGAAGGACTACTTGTGATTGGTAATGCATCAAGTAGTTCTAATCTTAATTCTGCATCAAATAAATAAACAATTAAAGACCAGGACTATGTGGTCTAATGGTACCCGGGTTGGACTTCCATTTGGAAGGTTGTAAGTTCGAGCCTCAGTGGAGGCGTTATTAGCTCTTTGTGTTTCAGTAGGTTGAGAAAGTATATGAACAGATACTACAATGTAATAGAGCTAGTAGCATTCCAAAAAAAATAAACAATTAAAGACTATTTTTTTTGTTAGTTGGTTAGTATAATTAAATAATGTTTTCTACATTATTTTTCTTCATTACTTAATATGTTATATCATTAATTATATTAAGTCTACTAACCTTGAATTGCAGTCATCTCATTCCAAACCAAACTGCAATTTTTGTACATTAGGCAAGCTACATGCTCAAATGACAAATCACATTGATGAATCCAAAACATACAAAAGTATATAATATTAAAATAAAGTCAATTGCTAAGTATGTACTTTATAATTTGTATCTATATAACAATGGATCGAGCTAACCTGGATTCGAACAAAGGCTGACATCACATTAAACAGTGGTGTTGCAATCTTTGCAGTATGTATTGAGGGGAAAAGCACTGTTAATTCAACAAGTTAGACTTAATTAATCAGTATCACACTGAATGTATGAAACTAATAAACATATATACTTATGTATTTAAAAAAAAAAAAAAAAACATATATACTTACCAAACTTGGTTTTGAGACTTTTGCAATGCAGGATGATGGAAGCATTGGGGCAGATCCCTACAGATTATTAATTAAGTCAAATAATTAATACCTAATTACCTGTGCGATGCTCGTGAGGTGCTGGTGCGATACTCGTGCGGTGCTCGTGCGATTCACGGATAAATTTCTTTTATAAAAAAATAATGGAAATAAAAGTCAATTGCAAACTTGCTATTGAGCTATTATTTACCATAATAATTATTAGATTTTTATAATATATAATAATAATAATAATAATAATAATAATAATAATAATATTAATTTTCACATTTATTGAGCTATTATTTACCATAATAATTATTAGATTTTATATAGTAATAGTTTGGGAGGTAATTTGGTCGGAAAGTTGCAAAAGTATTATTTATTTAAATATGGAACGAATTTTTATTTGAACGACGAATTTTTATTATAAGGCTACACAACGAACTAATTTATTATTATTTATCTTTCTATTTTGGGTACAATGAACAATTATTTATTTATTTATTTATTTTTAGTCTACATGCTTCGATTGTTGTTGTATGATTGAGAAATATGACGGATGCATGGACATTATAAAATATTTTCTTATATTTTGAGTTTTGACCACTAAGATTAGAAAAGAAAATTATCAATGTGCCACATACTATCGAAAGGTTTTGCAAATTGTTAAGTTGAATTCATTGCACTGGCTACATATATTTATGTAAAGTAGATGTTGAATAAACATTTATTATGGTAGATAATATATTGTCCTAGCTACACAAAGTGGATGTTGCTTCATCTGTCATTATCTCGGCTAGCTGTAAAATAACAACAATATATCATTGTTATGCTCCTTCTAAACAATCAATTGCTATTTGCAACACCTTACCCTAACTAGACAGTTTTGGTAAAGATATAACAGTTCTACCAAAATCATGTAGCTTTCCTCTTAAGCTATTGTGAACCCGCTAGGCTTGATGGCTATTCACTTTACGTAGATTGATCAATATTTAATTTAAATTGATAAATACTTTATATGTTATTATCAAAATATTCATGTCAAACGTAACTTAACAAAAATATATATATAAATTATAAACATAAACATAAACTAAAATCGTTAGTTAGGAACAACTGAGTGACTAATAATAATAATAATAATAATAATAGTAATAATAGTAATAATAGTAATAGTAATAATAGTAATAATAATAATAATAATAATAATAATAATAATAATAATAGGATGCCAAACACCTTGTGCTCAGATGGCATGTAGTGGCCTCTCCCGTGTGATTGGTCATGATATGGAGGCTCAGTGGAGGTGTTGGCTCTGCGTGCTTCATTAGATTGAGAAAGTATGAGGTTGATTTCTTAGGTTATTTTGAATTTGACAAGCTGAGTGTGAGCATCCTTACCAAGATAAATATCTTTTATGATCTTCGAAAGACCTATTCATTAGTACATGAAATAAATATGGAAAGGATCCTCATCATGAGTTCAACATGCTAAGCCAATACTCAAAGTAATCATCAATCCATGCTCAAGACTTGCACAACCAACACTTATACACACAACAAAATTAGCAATCCTTAAAAACCCTCACGAATTATTATGTTCCTGTTTGTGGACAAACTAAAATCTATGCCTTAGCCTTAACCTTATTACCAAAGAATTTTAGAGTTTTCTTAAAATTGTATATACTCCATATATGCTGCAATGAAATTGTCTATATATATCAAATACACGTAAAATTTTAACACAAAATATTTCTCATGGGTGGCATTCACCTAAATTAAGAATTGTATTACTATAGACAACTCCAACTAAGTTAGTCGAATAGTTGACTTCGTAATTATAACCCCAAGATTCAAATATCAACTCTCTTTGAGAAAACTATCTATTGGCATTCTTGATTTAAGACAGTCAACTATAGACAACTATACTTAAGTCGGTTTACCTCCTTAGCCTCTACTCTATTATTTAATTCACATACCTCATTCTTACAACTTTATGTTTACCTAACCTCATTTAATTATTCTTACAGATAAATTTTTTTTGTTTTTTTCTTTTCATTGTTTAATATTTTAGTATGTGGAGTATGTATTGAAGAAATAATAACACTTTAACAATCACCTATAAAAAGAATAAGCAAGTAGATAATAAGCAATCAAGTCTAAATAAAACCACCAAGGCCAAATATTTCCTCAAATTACATAACACTATTTAAAGTACTAATAAATATGCAACTATACCTAATACGCAATGTCACATATCCTCAACACCAGTTTTCAAAACTTTAAATTCCTACCCAAATTCATTTTATATAACCAAAGTTCCTAACTTAGGTTTTAAGTCCATTTTGTAACTTTGCTTTTATATCCAAAAGATTCGTATCGCTCTGATACCAATTTATATCAGAGCCTAATTAATTTTATTTTCTCTGCCTAAGATTTTGCAATGTAAGCTCTAATACCGACTTTATCATAGCATAATCATTTCGCAACCTAAGTCCCGATACCCTACTTGTATCAGAGCCTAATAAATTTTATTTCGCAACCTAAGCTCTAATACCAATTGTATCAGAGCATAATCATTTCGCAACCTAAGTCCTGATACCCTACTTGTATCGCAACCTAAGAGGAATCACGTAGAGTGGACATCATCAATAATGAGGGAGAGTGGACGGAGAGTGAGGGAATTGTTGTTTATTGTTCGGAGGAGAGTGAGAGGGAAAGATTTTTAATGTTCTGAGGAGAGTGAAGGGAAAGGGGAGATGATAATGCAAGTCTCATGGTTATAATACAGTTTTATAGAGGGGAGGGGAGAGGTAGTGATGGGAGCATTAACATCTCCTGCCATTATCAAGTCTTTATCCCATACTCTATTTTTTAATTCTAATACATCTTTTTTACAACTTTATTTATGTTTACCTACCATTTTTTTTTCTTTTCATCGTTTAATGAATGAATATCTCATTTAAAAACATTCTTGTATACCCTAATTGTATCAGAGCCATCTAATAAATTCTATTTAAGCTCATACATTATCATTTCGCAATCTAAGTCTTGATACCTTACTTGTATCGCAACCTAAGCTCTAAGCTCTAATATCAATTGTATCAGAGCATAATCAATTTTATTTTTTTTTGATACCCTATTTGTATCATAGCTTAATCAATTCTATTTACTAAGTTTAAGATTTCACAACCTAAGCTCGGATACCACTTGTATTAGAGCCTAATCAATTCTATTTTTATGCCCAAAATTTTGCAATCAATTTCTCAACCTAAGTCTTGATACCCTACTTGTATTAGAGCCTAATCAATTTTATTTGCTATACCTAAGATTTTGCATCCTAAGCTCTGATATCACTTGTATTAGAGCCTAATCAATTCTATTTTTATGCCCAAAATTTTGCAATCAGTTTCTCAACCTAAGTCTTGATACCCTACTTGTATCAGAGCCTAATAAATTTTATTTCGCAACCTAAGCTCTAATACCAATTGTATCAGAGCATAATCATTTCGCAATCAAAGTCTTGATACCCTACTTGTATCGCAACCTAAGCGGAATCACATAGAGTGGACATCATCAATAAAGAGGGAGAGTGGACGGAGAGTGAGGGAATTGTTGTTTAGTGTTCGGATGAGAGTGAGAGGGAAAGATTTTTAGTGTTCTGAGGAGAGTGAAGGGAAAGGGGAGATGATATTGCAAATCTCATGGCTATATTACAGTTTTATAGAGGGGAGGAGAGAGGTAGTGATGGGAGCATTAACATCTCCTGCCATCCTCAAGTCTTTATCCCATACTCTATTTTTTAATTCTAATACCTCTTTCTTACAACTTTATTTATGTTTACCTACCATTTTTTTTCTTTTCATCGTTTAATGAATGAATATCTCATTTAAAAACATTCTTGTATACCCTAGTTGTATAAGAGCCACCTAATAAATTCTATTTAAGCTTATACATTATATCGCAACCTAAGCTCTAAGCTCTAATATCAATTGTATCAGAGCATAATCAATTTTATTTTCTTTGATACCCTATTTGTATCATAGCTTCATCAATTCTATTTGCTAAGTTTAAGATTTCGCAACCTAAGCTTTGATACCTTGTATTAGAGCCTAATCAATTCTATTTTTATGCCCAAAATTTTGCAATCAATTTCTCAACCTAAGTCTTGATACCCAACTAGTATCAGAGCCTAATCAATTTTATTTGCTATACCTAAAATTTTGCATCCTAAGCTCTGATACCACTTGTATTAGAGCCTAATCAATTCTATTTTTATGCCCAAAATTTTGCAATCCGTTAATCAACCTAAGTTTTGATACCCTACTTGTATCAGAGCCTAATCAATTTTATTTGCTATGGCTAAGATTTTACATCCTAAGCTCTGATACCACTTATATTAGAGCCTAATCAATTCTATTTTTATGCCCAAGATTTTGCAATCGAAGCTCTGATACCAACTTCTAACACCCCTTTTAAAAATCCAAATTAAATTATTAAAAAATCATCAAGGTTTGATTTTGTTACTGGGTGTGTAGTTTCGAGTTGCAGATCCGCCAAATTTCATCTCTCCTCATCATAATTTGTAGGCGATATTCGGTGGTAATTTCATACATTTCGAATTAGAAATTTTCGTTTCATTTTGTTATTCGGTGTGT